TGGGTTTTGTTCTGTGACACATAAAACAAGTCGATGCGCATCTTAGATTTTTTTTTTTTTCTTTTCAGTGCCTCTCTATGAAGTTGCTTTGTGAGTGCAATTTTCTGCTTGGGACAGTAAGACTGAGAACACTGTACTGGTGTCTGCTTCTAAAAAGCCTCTTTGCTCAGTGAAAAGCAAAGATTTATTTGCCTTGCAGGGGGAGGACCTGAACAGCTTGTCAGTTTAGTTAGCAACATGAGGACATAACACTTGGTCACAGAGAAAGCCAGACTGTTCTTTAATATGGTAGAAAAACAGAAAGATGTTCTGGGTCCTTTGCTCTGCCTGTCATATGCCATGGGAAAACTGTTCTCTGTAGGAAATTCACATCACTATTTACCAAGGCAAAAGCTCTTCCTTTGAGTTAAGTTCCCTCTACACATGCTTTTCTTTATGAGAAACATATTTCAGTGCTTGCCCAAATATCACTTTGCACAGTTCCTATTAGCTTATGATTATACAAACACATCTTCTGTTCTGTCCTCATTTCAGCACCTTTATACTGCTTTCCTACTTAGAGACACATCACAGCTATCAGTAGCCATTTTTCCCAATTATTCYTGGTATTTACTTTCCAAAAGCTAGACTGTYTGCTGGTAACTTTAGAGTATAACAYGATAATGCCATGAGAGTTTATAGTRCCAGTATTAACTGTTCAGCGCTTCTTTTTGTGTAGTTTTGTGTAATTTTAACATCACTTTCTCGTGTCTTTCAGAGCCCCCCAGGGCCATAGAAACTTATGAGAAAAAAAATAGAAAAATATTAATTTTGCTGTTCCACTCTGACTAAGATGTAAATGAAGTGCCATCTGTTGTAGTTGTCCCTCTGACTCGTGTCTCTYTTGTCCCAGCCGCACCACTGCAGATGTCGCCCTGCTGCAGACTGAGGTGGAAGTTCCTGTTAAGAGCCTACACGAGGAAATGCACTCCAACACTGAAAAGACCACCATGAAAGGCAGGAAAAGTCCTGAGTATGAGAACCTTGTGACTGCAATGGAATCACAATACGAAATAGAAGGAATTTAGTAGTGTACCGGCGTTTCTGCAGGAGCAGTCATGCAAGGCTGCAGGTACTGAGTACTGAACTTAACAGAAGGAAATTYTTTCTCCTGTTGTCCCTCTGCTCTGCTCTCACTGCTTGCTTTAACCCAGAGGAGCTGCATAACCTTTTGCTCTTTAGCAGAGCAGGCCCAGCCTGCAGGAGCAGAAGCCCTCAGCCAACTGCTTGTCTACCCACTTCTACAGAGCAAGCAGCTTCTGAGCAACCTGAAGGGCCGAGTCAGGAAGAGAGGATCTGGAGGAGTGGGAATATTTGAAAGTCTTTAGCCTGTAAATTTAGGAGTAGCTGGGTGCAATGCTGCCAGTCAGTAGCACTGACGAGTGGTATTCTCCAACATGTGTTCCTGTTAAGACATCTCAGGCTGCAAGGAACCATGACACTGCTGGAATTKGAGATCCTCTGGCCTTTGCAGCTCAGCAAATACTGGTTGTACATCCTGCCTGTCCTTGAGTCTTTCTTTTTTCGTTAGAGCAACAAAGGTAACACAGAGGAGAGGCTGATGTCCCAGGACATGAGGGGATTATTGGACAAGATCAGAGAAAAAAAAATCTCCTGTCTGTATTGTGAGAACATCACAAACATAGTGACAGCCATGCAGAGGGGGCTGTGCTTGGTGTCAGGCTGTGCTCCAGGGAGGCAGGAAGGATCCAGCCTGTCCCTGTGGGACCCGTGGCAGCCAGCCCTGAAGATCCCATGCTGGAGAAGCTGCTGTCATCAGCAGTTCCAGGAATGGTGCAGAACAAAGGAACTGAAGGGAAGGGGGGCTGTAGGCACACTCATGTAGGGCAGTAGCATATGGTGCAGAGTCAATACTGTGTGGGAAGGGAACTGAAAATTTCTCAGCTTCCSCATCCTTACCTCAGCAGATCTAGGCCCAAAACACGTGACATGGCACTCTCCTTCCCCCCCGCTCCCCCAAATGTCGTCCCAGTTAATTTTCAATTAGCCTGGTGTTTTGTGCAAGTATTCCTGCTATTAGAAATTCTTGAGCTCCATGTTCACTCATTGATTATGTGACACCATGATTTTTTCCATCTTTTGATTCCTCCCAGCACTGATCTGCTCTGAGAAGGTCTGGACACCTTCCTCAGAAGATAAAAACCTGGGAGAAGCTGCAGAGGAAGAGGGCAACRGGAGTTAAGAAAGGGGGTGCAGATGCTCCAGATGGACCAGCCCCCACACACTCTATGTTGTCACTGCCTCTAGTTTGCACAGCAAAAGGACTTTGGTGACAAGTGGCAGAAGAGTGGAAACACAAGAAGCCTGTCTCCAGTGCCAATGTGGTTGTTTCTCCCTGTGCAGCAAGYGTGTGATTATTTCTTTATTTTACTTTTGGCATGTTTTGGCATGTTTGTAGTAAAACCTRTTGGCAACAGAACATTTTTCTTCTGAAAGTCAGAGAGTTTTGCTGTGTTGCATCACCATCAAACCAGAGAACTTCTCCTTGCCTTGCACTGGTCATTCACCCAGTGCTCATCTGCTGAGCCCTGYTCTGCTCCAGAAGAGAAGGAAAACCTCAACTTCTGCCCTGAAAGGACACTGCCTCCCAAAAACACACTATCTTGAGTGGCCAGCAGAGTGTCACAAGACTCACGGTTCCCCTTGCMGTGCCTGTCCCATGGAGGGGGCCTGTTGGCTTTTACATATGCTGGGTTTGTACAGGACTTCAGAAAAGGGAGATGGGAGATGAAGTCCCAGAGAAATTTGTCCCACTGTAATTTGGGGGTTGCTTCCTTTCCCTTCCCCGCAGTCATATGGAAGAAACTGGGSCYGGAAGGAGAAAGTTACCTAAAAAGYRGAGGGGCAAACTRCTGAAAGCAAAAATTGGAAATGCATGAGAAAACAAGAATGAAGGGCATAAACAAACACTTGGCCAACTGTGGTGCAGAGGAGGTTAGGTCTGTTGAAAACCTGAGATCTGGGTGACAGCAGAGCTTGGGGCTGACATGGCTGTCTGCTRCATGAAGGATCCACTGGGGACAAAGCAAAGCCTGAAATCACAGACCTTGCCCTCTTTTGAAGCTAATCTCAGTGATAAAGATCAGGGTGATGCCTGTGAGTCATGAGGAGGTGCTGGAGAGAGACCATGGGAGTGTGAGTCATAAGGACTAGGGCCTTTTCTGGACCATGTTTGTCCAGAAGTGCRTAAGCTATTTAAAAAGCAGAACACAATTTGCTTAGGCAATTATATACATTCACGAGTCYCAGCTTTGTACAAACTCCAACTTCTTCAAAATATTTAAGAAATAGTTGCAACAAAAAGCTTAATATTCAAGTTTATTCATATTCTCAAATATTGCAAAATTTGCTGGTGGTACTGTCCTAAAACTAGTCAGTAGGGTTTGGGGAATTTTTTAATTTCTGAGTTTTCCATGTGAAATGCTTTCAGAGAGCTTGATGTGTCAAACTGGATGCTGCCCCTGTCATTCCCCTGCCCTGACATTTCTGAAGCTGCAGATCTGATATACTACAAGTGAGTTACTGAAAACACTTACCAATCATGACATCTCGGGATGGTTTAGAGGGAATTACTTTAATTAAATAGCAGAACAGGCAACCTTGCTCCAAGTTTTGAGTAGGAATGACCATCCAAAGACAAGAACATCGAGGCTCCCAAGAGAGGTAGTGGACTCCATGGCTAACACTGAGCAAATATGCATTTTCACTGGCTAATGGGCCAGAAGGAAGTTAATCAGCMGCCTCATTAGTTTGTACTCCACATAAAAATATTTCTATATGTGCAAAGGAAAGATTCTTTATTATGGATAATGCTGCCTTTACCCATGATGTTGTGATTATTGTTGCCAGCATCCTTGTTAACTGAGCTTAATTAACAGCTGGCTAGTTAACGCTGTGTAAGAGAACAGCTTTAAATTTGGATACAACAACACAAGGGCACAATTCTCTGTCTTCACAGTGCAGAGGAGTTGCACCAGCACCACCTCTGCTCAGATTTACTGTTGGGAGGGATACGCTGCCAAACGCTTCCAAACTGGGGTGGAAGGGAAACCTGGCAGCACAGGATCAGTCAGGTGTTCTGGAACAATGGGGTGTGCTGTTTAATACCTCGGTGGGTTTCGGGAGATGCGCCGAACCTTCGGGAGAGGAAGACTCCTGCCAGAGCAGGAGGAAGGGGCTGGTTGCTCTTCGTGCCGTCGCGTTGCTCAGCAGTGCCTCACTTGGGGTATTTGACAAACTGACACTCTGCACACTGAGTGTCGGACTCAGCTTGTCAAATACACGCAGTGCCACACTGCAGCTCCCGGGGATCACAGTGTCCTTGCTGGATGCCAACCTGGGCACACAGAGGGAAAAGAAGCACAGCAGCTGTTGTTAACTTCAGAGGCTTTGTCCAGTTACCAAAAAAACATCATTAACCGTCCCATATTTCCCCCTCCTGCACTCTTTTTTGGGTGAGAGACAGACACAACAGCAGGCACTGCTTTCTGCTGAGGAAAATACCCAATATATTAATTCAAAGGTCAGAAAAAGAGGTACAACTCGGCCCCTGGGCAGCACATAGGGATTCATCACCAACTSTGTTGCAGGATCCTCCATTTGGCAGAATCCTGTAAGGATTGTGATGCTGAACGAAAACCAAGTTCTACATAGGGAAAAAATGAACTTCTTTGGAAGTGAAGTGAAACTTCCTCTTCTGATGACAAACTAACCCCCTTCTGCTTCATTTCTAGCAGACAGAAAAAGCCTTTCCTGCAGTAAGTGCAACTTTCCACCCGCATACACTGGCATGCCTTTAATGGTGAACATCATTTTCCCCCACACATATGTCTTGCCCAAAGACAAAAGATACTGTTATTCACTTATTATTTTAACAGGAGTGTGCAGGAAATGCAGAAACGCCTCTAAAGAAAACTGAATAACAAAATATACACAAGAKGTTGCACTGTATTACTGTGTTCTGTGTCCTTCTCAGATGCTAACTGTTCAGAAATTCAGTCTAAAAACAGATTTGAAATTCTGATACTGTACTACTGTCCCARAACAATCCATACTGGTTCCTCCAGTATGGAGTATATGAACAGTATCAAACAGTGGGCAATTCATTAACCATTTCTATTTCTAACTTCTGTGACTCTTTCACACGATGATCATAGGATCCCATCTAATACCACACCCAGAAACATAACTGGAAAGGGAAAGGTTTTTTTTTTTTCAGGTGAATGCACAAAATAAGAAACAGTAATGGTCAATACATGTTTTCTGAACCCAGAAGAGAGTGGAATAAGACTTAAGAGCAAGGTAACAGCTACAGCTTTAAAGATAAAATCAGTTTCCAGGCTGGGTCACTACCCATGCTTTGCAATTCTGGCATTCCCTGTCTCCACCTTCGCCTTGGGTGTGAAGTGGACAGTGACCAGTTCTGTGTTCTGGCTCCTCATTCCAAATGCAGCTCAGCCACGGTAGATAAAAATCTATGGCAGTGCATAACAGCAGCATGTGCATTTCATGAACATAAGAAAACAGTGTTAATAAGCTGATTTAAGATCAGTCTAGTAGAATACAAGTGATTCTGTGATCCCCAAAAGGACTGTCAGCCATACCAAAATGTGGGGGGACTRAGCAGGAGAAAGACTGAGCAGGCTCTTCAGCAGCAACCAGATTGCCTTCAGCTTCAGTGCTCATGTCTAACAGGGGCAGACCTGGCCTTGGCGGGGGAAGAAGAAAATAAAGCAGCACTGCTTCTGCAATTGCAGTTTAAAATAATCCCCTATTGTGGCTTTCTGGGGGGAAAAACAGCCACTTAAAATGTTACTGTGACAGACAGATAAGGTGTGGGGACACAATGGAGATAATTCTATCAGTAGATGGGAATGGAACTTGCAACTCTACCCGTAGAGATCATATCTGATATGAATGGATTTGTCATTGTCAGAGCCTCTGGTTTCAAGCTAAAGTTGGTATTTTGAAGTAAAAGCTCAGTGTCATAAAACTGAGCAATCTACTGCATACTTTGAAGGCAAAACAGAAAGAATTTTTCTTCCTGCATTCTTGAGTCAGTCCCTTACCAAAGTCACAAAAAGTCCCCTCCGGGCTGTGCGYCATCGCTCAGGTATTTTTACAGGGCTGTCAGACTGTTCTGCAACTTRTAATGAAAATAAATGAAAAGTGAAATTATTGGATAGATTTGACTCTCAACTTCCTAATGGCATGCATCAAAGTGTGGCTGTATGGTTTCCACATGCTGAGTAGCAGAGGATGCAGGCTTCAGCCATTTCAAGGCATGCATTTATTATGCCAGATTTGAGCTGGAATCAAGGTCATCYCTGTCCTCYACTTGGTGAAACCCAAACCATAGCCTGAATTGAAAGCAAGAATCYCCAYGGATCTGTGGGCAACAGAGTCTGCTGAACCCCTGGCCAGMTGAAACMTTGGGTTTTGYTTCTCCTAGGAGCTGRAAGCMTTTGTCRTGACAGTGAAYCAAAGCTTTGCTCATATTAGCCTTYCACTGACTGCTGKCCTGCTCCATACAGGACCTTCCTAAACCCCCAGCCCTGCAGTGGACACTGCAGGGAGCTTTGCTAGATGAACACTCACTCCAAAGCCCCCAGTAAGGGCCTGATAAGCCCCCCATTACCAGCCTCACATGATCCCACAGCCCCTGAACTCACCTGAGCCCTGCAGCCCCCATCCCTGCACACTGGACTCTGTCCCCGTGGCTGCTCATGCCCCAGATGCCAAAGGGGGAAGAGGGGTGTGTGATAAACCTTCATCTGCGTTACTGAAATGATTGGGACAGTGAGAAATGGAGCTAAAAAGCACACTAGCACATGGCTGGGACAGGGTCTGTCCCTGGTTAYACCCTCCTCCAGCCCACACCCTCCCGTTCATTGTGTGCTGCCTCATCTATGACTAATTTAGATCAAAGTCTCCCACTGCCAGCAGCTCATAGGCGGCATGTGTGTGTGAGAGAGATGAGGGAGAATACACACATGCACCCTGGTGCCATGTAGGGCCATGTATCACTGCTAATCATAATTCATCTTCATCAATGAGCCATGGTCCAGAGTGCAGTGCTCCCAGGCTGGGGCCGGTGGCATTCCATCCCTGAGCGTGCCCTCCCCAAACGCCAAACGCCACCTCATCCCTTAAAGAAGGCACCAAAAAGCCCCTCTGGCTTTAGGCAGACACAGCCCCAGCACCGAAGAGAGGTAGGCAAAASCCCAGCAGGATTAAGAACCCCCAAAGCTCGAGGTATAGCACAGGGTGGGAGTTTGGCTTTCTCCATTGCTAGGAACAGAGACACCCCACAGATTTCAGCATCCCAACACCCGCAGGCCTTTGGAACCTCCCAAGGGAGAAGCAGGAGATGAACCCCAAAGGACAGATCCTCCCTGCCCCCAGCCACCCCTTCCACAGGCAGG